AAAAACGATTATCGGAAGTATTTCCTTTCTATTTTGTAGAAGATTTAGGGGATGGGGCTGTCTCAACAGCTAGAGTATCATTTCCTTTTATTTATTTTTGGGAGTTATAGTTGTCTTTACCCCCCCCCTCCCTTCTTAGGTTGGGATTCCTGAGGTTCTTTAGCATCCATCCTCTTGAGCATGTTCTCTACCTGCTCTCCTGCCAAACCAAATCTTTTCATGAACGGGCTTTAACAATGCCCATCTTAGATAAGATATTGATAGAAAGATTGCTGCAGCACATCTCCATAAGAGTAGCTTCGGAAACCTGATCACGCGAATGTAACGATCGATTTCTGAATCTCTTAACAAAGTCGCTAACAGACCCTATCTTTTTCTCCTTCTCGGCCAATAGCGTGGCCATGGACACCTCAGTGTCATCATCGAAGAATCGAGCTAGGAAAAGCTTCTCCAAATCCCTCCAACTTTTGATTGACACGGGCTTGAGTCTGCGAAACCATTCAAAAGCTACCCCTTTCAGGATACTAATAAACAGTCTAGTCATAATGGAGTCATTACCCACTATGTGTCTAGTCTGTGCCTGGAAATAATAGATGTATTGGGTAGGGGAACATTTGCCATCAAATTGTACTAGATTGAGTGGTTTAAACTTCGGGGGATATGGGACGGTGTCCCACTCGGCTGGATAAGGCCTAGCTACCCCCAGGTCTTTGAAGTTTCCTTGGAGCTTCAATGCGTCAAGTTGCTTCTAAAAATCCTTCAATTTTTGGTCTCGTACTTTCGTATGAGGATTGGACTCAGCTTCAGAGGATTCGGAATGAACCCTTATGACATTTTCCTCTTCGTTGTCTTCATCATTGCCATCTTGATGTCAACGGCTGTTCTCTTCATCAGCGTGTGAAGGTTACCTAAGCCTTGATCTTGAGGCTTGGGGATAAACTTTCTTCTTTTTCTTTTCTTTCTCCCCGAGTATTTTCTCTACCATTGCTTCCAAGTGTCTGATAGACTCCTGTTGTTGATGGATGGTTGATTATTACTCTTCCATCTGCCTCGCCATGTCTTCTTCACTTCTAGCCATGTGGGCACTTGCTTGTTCACTTTGATCAGTGTTAGAAGGCTGTGAGGTTGCAATAACTGAGTTCTCAGGCTCTTCCTCAGCCTCATCTATGATGCCCGCTAATCATCGGTAATCAAACGGGATCACCACACTAGTACGAGTATGAGTGTGTTGATACACCCTCTGTCTTTCGATAAGCATTTCACCTAACCCTCGAGAGTATTCAGGATCAGAAGATTCAGAAGAATCAGCTGAGGATTTGCTCTTACCCTTACTGACCATGTTAATCGTCACTTCAATGTGGTGATCCTTGGGTGTTTGTTTCTTAGGATGAAAGCACCTTCTTCTTAAAGACGAGATCATCGATGGCTCAGTCAACCATTCGAAGACTGAAAATTATGTGCTTACTCTCTACATGGGCATTGAGAAAGTACTGCAGAAATAAGCTTCTCACAGCAGCAATGAGAGTGTATCTGATTTATACTGCGATTGCGTGTGAGATAATCCCAAAGGTCACTAGCAGGATAACCCCCAGCTGACTCTGTCATCTTAGCCTTACCCGAGCGAGACCCTCTGAATGATAGAGGTTGACGAACTTGGGTAGGTTGAAAAACTCTTCCATTAATGTGACAAGGTTCGTTGATAGGACGGGCTTGACGAGTTTGCCTTTTCGATTACTTCTTAATTTGAGGTTTTTTTTCTTAACGAACCTCAGTATGAACCACTTGTTGAGTTTGTTGAACCTCTTTTTGAGGATAAGGTTTGTGTTCTGAGCCTACTCGGGTATGAGGATGAGGTCCGTCATTTTGGCGTTCCTCAATCACTTGACCCTCGTTAGACTTGTTGACCTTGGGCTGGTCAGCTCTCAGTCGATAGTGAGAACCTTCTAGCGAGACCAAAGCTCGAGCCCTACGACGAGCTTGGTTCTGGCGTTGACGTTGTCGAGCGCGTCTTGACAGTGGACCAACAGGAACTTTTGTCTCAGCCGAAGCTGGGCGAGGTTCGTTATCAAAAGCCATAGTTTGGCTAGTAGAAGCCGAAGTTCAACTAGGTTGCTTGACAACCCATTTCTTAGCCTGACGGCTAGTTGCTGGAGCCTCCTCTTTGAGGGGCATAGACTTTTCCTCGAGGTTAACTCGAGTTGAATCATCAGAAGCCACTTAGGCTGAGATCTCATACGAGACTCGACAGCACTTACGTACCTTCGTGGGACTGGATGATCCAGAGGAAATAAATTCCTTGTACTTGGTCTGGTTAAACTCGATGACCAGGGTCTCAAATTTAGTTCCCATTGCAATCTTATCTGACTGCGCCACCATCAATTCGTCAGAAAGAATGGCTTCTCCCGCTGTGGTTATCATCTTCTGTAGGGTCAAAAAATTTAAGTTGATTGATTCTCTTATTTTAAGAAAACTGGGTTCGATCACTTGGTACGAAACCCTTACAATCGTTCACACTCTCTCTCGATTACAGATTAAGAGAAGATTAATTCAACTCCTCCTTGTTTAACGTAGACTCTTGGTGGAAAAAGGATGCTTTCCTCGATGCTTGAGTCGAACTTGCTTCTCGTTGATGATCAGAACAAGATCACTGAAGCTTCTGATGTTTGTTAGACTACGAGAATCAAGGTTCGAATCCCAGATCTATACGCAGAAGCTCTGATCTCTGATGATTCTCGAAGTCCAAATTTCCAAAAAAAAGTCCTTTTCTCTGTTCCTTTTCTCTGTAGCGATCTATGGCTATTTATAAGGTTTAAGCATGTAACTGACGTGCTACGATCATGGGTAGAGGGGCGTAACTGCCTCCTCCAAATCAGCGCACGCTGTAATGTGCTCCTGAAGGTTAGCCCTCATGGCTGACTAAGTCTTCGGAGCTATTACAACTAAGTCTCATGCGGATGACGAGCCTCGTCTTTGATTGAAATAGAGTTCGTCAAATTGGACGAGCCTCGATACGCAGCAAGGTTTGTCTTACGAGGCCAACTTTGCAGTAAGCAAGCTTTTTTTCTGACGAATTTTGTCTTCACTGACTTCATCTGACGAACTTTGTTTTCACTAACAAACTTCATCTTTGATAGCTGGGTCCAACTGCGTAGTAAATCTTATGACTTTACTTTTATGGAACCTTGTCTTCACTGATGAGCTTCGAGTCTGATGACGAGCTTTGTCGAGCCTCGTTTTCAAACAATGAACTGTGAACCTCGTTTTTCACTAACAAGCTTTGGTTTTTGATGTTAGGCTTTGCTACGTGGCACCCCTTGTTCATGAAGTGAGTTTTGATCGACGAGCCTCGTCGAGGTTCGTCTTCTTGATCACTTTCTTCATGGTTCAAAGTTTGGCATTTTTGAATGCCTACAACCACCTCTGACATTAGAAGGAAATCAACCATGCTTCTCCTCCTAACTTGAGCCTGACAATAGCCTCCCCCTACTTATTATCCTTGTGCTCCACCTGCATCGCCCATCTCAAACTATATCGGTACACCTCTTGTACTCCACGCTTCGAGCTAGATGCCTCCATCTCCTCCATCACTTGGCTTGGACCGAATATGAGCGCTCATCATCTTTAAGTTCAATGTTGCCATCTCCATCAACATGTGTGTCACTCTATCGTACCTGGTTGCAAGCTCCACCTAATCTAGCATTGTCCTCCTCGAGTCTACACACCAACCAACTCATGCTCTTGCGATGACTCTGAATAATTATATGACGATAACTCTACTGTTAGAATCACATCTGATTCTCTACATCAGTGTCATCTATCGCAAATTTGTTTGCCCTGTCTGCCATCAGATTTGTCTTACCGTTGAATAGCGGAATATCAAACTTCGGACCCGAAGAAGTCAACATCCTCTAACCATAATTAAAATTCAAATTAGTTACTATAGAGATAGAATTTGATAAAACCGTTGTCAAAAACGAACTCAGCACATCGAAAAACCCTAGGAACGATTCCTGGATCACTAAAATCCCCCTCCAAATCCTCGATCAAAAGACAAATCAATTTGCACCGTCGGATTTGATTTAATAGTTTGTAAGTAAATCCTCACCCATGTGAACAGTGTTCCCGTAGCCAGTACAGTATTTCCTACTACACTATAATTTTTCCTCTTCATCTTGATTCTTGTAACGCCGTCGATTTTTACTTTTGTACGACGTCTATCTTACGAACTCACTCCCGGATCCATCACCATCGCTCTAATATCACTTGTTGGGGAATTTTAGTCTCCTCGCCTACTATGATCTCTGCAACTTGGAAGCTAACCCACAATCAATAAGATAGAAAATAATCACAATCAAGAAGAAAGAACACCGAGATTTACGTGGTTCGGTCAACCAACTACAACCTACATCCACGGGCAACAATACTAGAAATCCATTATGTATCAGGGAGAACTACAAGAGGAACCACTCAACTCTCATCTCTCAATCTCTCAACCTCACGTACATAATCAACTCTCATATTATCTCCAAAGCCATCTTCTTACAATCTTTTAAACAGAAAAAGAATGCGAAACCCTCTCCCAATGATGTAATCTTTTTCACGGACAAAGACTACGAAACCCTCGCCTCTCGCATAATTTTTGAATCAGGCTACACCAACTGCTAACCCTAGATTACAAGAATATTGGCTTTCTCTCCTCTGCTTGGTTTTTTCCTCCAACAATAGAAGAATATATATAAGAAAACCAAAACTCTATCTCTAGCCTATCTTCCTAATTATAATAGGATTCATGAAACTCAATCTCCTAACCATGATAGATCTCTAACCCTATCTAATTCTCATGAAGTTATACAAAGAATCAAAGACACAATCCTAGCATACACTCTTGGTTGATGATTCTTTGATTCATGATCATATATATTTATAACAATGAAATAAAAGATGAAAAATTCACCACTATATCCTACTATATTTAATATATTTCATTCTAATATCAACAGACAGGGCCTTATGAAATTACAACAAGATGGACAATAGAAATGACACCGGTTCTTCTACCGTGGAAACCACAGTTCGTCGTCACAGGTGTATCTATCATGGAGATCAACCCTAACAGTCAAAAGTTCTGCACTCTCGTGGTAATTTAAAGCTTCAACTCATTCACTCGTACTTTTATGTGTACAAACTAAAGTACTCTTTGTTTCTGGTAACAAAAGTTGGCATTTGTTCTTCTTTATATCGTAGGATCACTGGGATTCTGTAGAAGACAATGATTATTTTTCTTTGGAAGGTTTCATAGATGTCATGAAGCAGGTAACTAATTAATTAATTAGAATCACCAAAGTTCCCAGGTTTTTGAATGTATATACCTAACTTGCATATATTTCCACTTCAGCTGCGAATCTACAAGACTCCTGACTTGCAATTGCCAAAGTATCATGTCCTGAAAAGATGTGCAGCATATGAGGTGTATTATGTGATGTTCTTCAACTGCTATAATTTATTTAAGTAGAGCACTAATTAATTATCATGTGTCAGTCTCGCAAGAAGTGTTCAAAAATTAATTAATTAATCTGAATATCTTTATACTGTCACAGGTGAGGAAATATGATCCATTTATGATGGCTGAGACAAAAGGGGATAAGCTCTTTGGGTCATCCGGTGATCTTGATGAGGTTGTTGGGTGAGAGACTTTCTCTGTTCATATTGGTATAATAAAATTTTGTATCTTGATAACTACTTTTTCCTCTATGTATCAATTAATGTTCTCTGTTCATATTGGTATGATACATTAATTTTGTATCTTAATAACTATTTTTCTCTCACCTTCAATTAAGCTATGTATCAATTAATGTGTGGTTGAAGGTACATATTTGAAAAGAATTCTTCCTTGGAGAAGATCACAATGAGCATTCCTATCTCTGTTCAGATAGTTCTACCAATTAACAAAGAGCTGGACAAGTAAGACGTTCTGCATCAATTAATGGTGGTATTAACGTGGCATGCCCCTGTATTCTGAATATATGAAACATAAATACTATGTTAATCATAAAGGTGATCAGAAGAAACAAATAATTGCCAGAAAGATGCCCCGTAGTATTGTTGTTCTAAATTTACTATCTCTCTAGTTTTGTTGCAGATAGACGACTCACTATCACGTGGTGTACTGGTAAAAAAATTGCTATTACTCTTAGGCTGAAAGAGTAAAAAAATTTCACTCGGTCTATCTGCAACAATAAAATAAAACAATGATATTACATGGTGTCTATCTGCAATTAACCTCACTTTTATCAGAACAAGAAACCGAGGTAGTTAATTTCTTTTCTAATAAATCAAAGTTCATCTGATCCAGGTTATTAGCAGATCCTACTACTGGCACGGTTAAATTAATAAAAGTGGAAGGGGGAATCGTTGCAACAATGAAATTTAGTAGGAAAATCACTGAGGAGCTTGTCCGTAATAAGGAGAAGGAACTACGTTTTGCATTACTTAAAGCTGGTCTGAAGCCTCAATCTCCAAGCGGTTGCATGTTAGCTTGTTATAATGATCCTATTCGGTCATGGAGCTTTCTAACGGTGAGGTTTCTCCTTCATCATCAAGATACTTATATGATTGTGATTTGATATTGCATGCATGCATGTTTCTCTCTTCCTCGATCTCTCTAATTTGTATTATTGGCTTGTCTTCAATATTATATTTGTTCGCATTTTATTTTTCTAGCGGCAATGTTCATGCTCATATTAGCCCTTGAAGAAATGGAACGGTAGTGGAAGAATAATCTAGAGTTAGTCCTTGTCATTGTTAGTTTTTATTATCGATAAGATATTAAATTCTTTTTGGCATACTAGTGATTTTAATCTTAATTTAAGGGCCCACAGTTTGGTTGACAGAAGTATTAGAAATAGGAAATAGACTAAAAAAGTAGCTCCTTAGAACCATGAAGTAGGAAGTTGGAAAAAGTAATATCTTTTTTTATTTGTTTTGCATGCTCTATGAAGTATTGGAAATAATACTTTCTCTCTTTATTTACTTTTTTTCTTTGTTTGTTTGTTTGTTTGGAGATCAATGAAAAATTGTTGGAAGTAACTAGTTAGAGAGATGCTCTATTGTTGGCCTTGATTTAGCCAATAATAGAGACTTTGGAGGATTTGTAGATCAGAGGTAGGCAGGAGAAGAGAGTTTAGAGAAAATTGGGGAGAAGTTGTTCTTCTCTATTTTCTTCATATGTATAATATTACATAGCAAAGTCATTTAATCGTGTATATCATTTTTTGATCTAATCTTAGCCATTCATTTGGCTCTTCAACCAACTACAACATATGCTAGTCATATGACCCATTACAACAACTACATAACATTGACTCATTTGACTCATTGCAACTACATAGCAGACACTTAAATAACTTAGCAAATGATAAGCTAATAAAGCATAATAGCTTTTGACTCTTCCCTTTAATGCTTTGTCCTTGCACACCCATAAGCTCTCTTAAAATACTCAAATTTATCTTAGGGTAGTGCCTTATTGAAGTTGTCCGCCACTTGGTCTTGAGACTACAAATACTTCACTTGATCAACTTATCCACCTTCTACAACTTCTTGAACAAAATCAAACTTAATTTTAATGTGCTTGATATGGTAAATTGATATGGCGAATTTATTGTAGCAAAAATCATAGTGGCCTCCTCTTATTTGTCACCAATGTTTCAAGTATCCTTCTCAACCATATTACTTGTTTGCTTGCCATAGTGACCGAAACATATTCGACCTTGATAGAAGATAATGCCACTATCTTTTCTTTGATTCCGTGAAAATATGTCAGATCCAAGGATGCATGCATAGTCTGCTGTATTTTTCTGCTCAATCACTATCACAAAACCTAAATAACTTTGGCTTGATCAGAGGTAGGCAGGAGAAGAGAGTTTAGAGAAAATTGGGGAGAAGTTGTTCTTCTCTATTTTCTTCATATGTATAATATTACATAGCAAAGTCATTTAATCGTGTATATCATTTTTTGATCTAATCTTAGCCATTCATTTGGCTCTTCAACCAACTACAACATATGCTAGTCATATGACCCATTACAACAACTACATAACATTGACTCATTTGACTCATTGCAACTACATAGCAGACACTTAAATAACTTAGCAAATGATAAGCTAATAAAGCATAATAGCTTTTGACTCTTCCCTTTAATGCTTTGTCCTTGCACACCCATAAGCTCTCTTAAAATACTCAAATTTATCTTAGGGTAGTGCCTTATTGAAGTTGTCCGCCACTTGGTCTTGAGACTACAAATACTTCACTTGATCAACTTATCCACCTTCTACAACTTCTTGAACAAAATCAAACTTAATTTTAATGTGCTTGATATGGTAAATTGATATGGCGAATTTATTGTAGCAAAAATCATAGTGGCCTCCTCTTATTTGTCACCAATGTTTCAAGTATCCTTCTCAACCATATTACTTGTTTGCTTGCCATAGTGACCGAAACATATTCGACCTTGATAGAAGATAATGCCACTATCTTTTCTTTGATTCCGTGAAAATATGTCAGATCCAAGGATGCATGCATAGTCTGCTGTATTTTTCTGCTCAATCACTATCACAAAACCTAAATAAAATGTCAGAATACCCACGCGAGCTTGGAATACGAATGTCAGATTGACGTTGTTGTTGTACTGTTGTTGTAGAAACTGTACCCGTAGGAACCCTAAAACCAAAAGGTTTTGAACCGTAAGGTTATGAGATCGAGGAGATATTTTGCCTTGACCGAAAGGTCTTATAGATCAAGGAGATCTGTGATGCCCCTGGGTTCACACGAGGCTGCAGTCCTCGGTGAAACCAAGAATGTCAAACCTGCCATGCACCACACCGTGCAATAACATGTTTCACCATCACAATTAACATATCTCTAGTAGAGTCAACAACAGGTGTAGGTACAAAAGCAAGTAATAGATAATGCAAGAGGTACTGATGAAATGAAAGAGATCAAAATGATGTTTCATCATCCAACATATAGAAATACAAAGTCAATATCTGAAATGAATAAACTGGAGTTCTTATCAAATCTCAAATACAATAAGTCTGAGTAAAGGAAATAAGGCACACAGCCTTTACAACATCTAGAATAAAGTCCTCAAACATCTAAACAAAGTCTACAGTGGAGCTCCAAAATAAAACATATCTAAAAATAGTCAGCTGAACACTAAAGCGTGTCGCTTTTAACCTGCGACTCTCCGGACTCCTGGCTCGTTACCTGAAAGGGGGAGGGACAACGAGCGTCAAAGCGCTAGCGAGCAACATCACAACCAACCCCAAGGGAAAGGACTCGTTGTATACAGAAAATACAATTAATACATAATAATATAAAATCATTTGTCCTAACAACAATGGGTTTTGGTATTTAGGAAATTACAACACGAGCGTAGGTACGTCGAGCGAAATAATCCAAACAAGGAAACCCTCATGTATATACCTTGTATCTCAAATTGTAAATCCCTAAATACTAAACCTGAGGTCTAATACAAGAAACAATAAATAAAACAAATACAAACCCGTCTCTACCGATAAATGAAATCATGACAAGGCCACCACAAGTGTCATGCAAACTCACATGAGTATCATGTCCGAAAACGATTAAGTGTCCAAAACATAGACTATATAAATTAAACGTCCAACCCATAGACTGCATGAAGTAAACGTCCAACTCATGGACTGAATATAACCGTTGTCCAACGCATGGACCGGATGTGACCGTTGTCCAACGCATGGACCGGATGTGACCGTTGTCCAACGCATGGACCGGATGGTAATGCATATCCAGCACGAGGATTAAATAGCAATGCATGTCCAACACGAGGACTAAGTATAGTGAATATCCAACACGAGGACTAAATATGAACTTTACAAAGTGTAAGTGTCGAAAATATATATATATATATATACACAAAAGATACACAAGGTCTCATGTCACACGTGCCTCGATGTGCGGATCAGTACTTGTGTCAACAGTCGACTCACAGGTATAGATAACTCACTAACATAATAAACTGGTGTCAGAAAATTGAGGCGAACACTTACACATACGAAAAATACACAACAAATCAACAGTAGCCAAATCTGTGCGGCGGTCGACCGCAGAGACCATTCCGGTCGACCGCTCATAGAGCCGAGATTCACTGGGCTCAAAACTGAGCGGCGGTCGACCGTTGAGGTCATGCCGGTCGACCGCTCAAAGAGCAGAAGCTTTTCTGCTGGAAACATCTCAGAGTGGTCGACCGACGCGTCCACCGCGGTCGACCGCGAAGCAGACAGAAGCCCAGTTAGGGTTTCTGTCGGCTTCGAAACTCATTCAAAATTTGGTAATTTCTATACTAACCTAACTTTAACATTTCAATAATGCTCACAGCGGTCGACCGCCGCGTCCGCTGCGGTCGACCGCGAAGCAGACAGAATCCCAGTCTGGGTTTCTGTCAGCTTCGAAACTCATTCAAAATTTGGTAATTTCTATACTTTAACATTTCAATAATGATATATGGCAATAAACACAAGCTTATACAGTTAAAACCTCATCCCGAAAATCCCAAATTTTTATCAACACGATTTTGAAATGTTCTTAAACAATAAAAATAGATTTATCTCTCATAAAAACGTTTCAGATCGAGATCTCATCAATTAAAAATCATTAGTGAACTTTTTAAAACTAAAATATATGATTCTCACATCTTATGCCATAAAGATCTACGTTATCTACATAAAATACGATTTAGGCTCAATAAAACCGGATTAAAACCCAAATTTAAGCATAAAAACGAAAAGGGGTGAAGTTGGGCGAGATGTTACTCGCCTCTGATGAGAAGAGAACCCTAGATTTGTAGGAGGATGATCCCTATCGCTGAACACCGATGAATCTCACGAAATTCCACCGAAAATCCTTCGAAACGCCCCAAAAACGTCAAAATCCGAGCTAGGGTTTAGAGGGGAGAGAGAGAGGGTGGCTGAGGCTATTAGGGTTCAATAGAGGGTTCTGAGAGCTTCAAAACGAGTATATATAAGTGGGGTAACAACCGGGTTTGGTATAAACAAAACCCGCCGGAAACAGAACTGGCAGAACCAGGTTCGCTGCGCGGTCGACCGCAGCGACCACGGCGGTCGACTACGCAGGTTCCTGGGTCATTCTCAGACTGGGGTTCGGTGAAAAGGCTATAACTTTCTCGTCTGATCTCGGAATGAGGTGATCTAAGATTCGTTGGAAAGATCTTGAAGAGACCTACAACTTTGATCTTATACACCTTTCCAGATTCTAAATAAATCAGTATAAAAAACATAGAAACTCTCAACAGGTCAAAGATCTCAGATTATCACCATTTGCCTTTGTGCATGTTTTGTGTATTTACACTCATATATTCACAAATATACATTAAATTGATCTCAAATCAATTCCTATCATACTCAAACATCAAAATACATTATTCTCATCATATAACATATTTATAATTATTTATCACTCTATATTCAAATTTTCGGGGTTTTACAGACCCGGCGCCAGAAATCTTAGCCGAATGAAATTC